TTCTAAAATTTCAGTCAGAATGAATGTACTTAGATCAAATTCAGAAAGATGACTTATCAGCTGCTCAGCAACTCAAATATGCAGCTGCCTTTGCCTTATTATTAAAAACACATATATGTGAGATGAGTGTGAGAGTGTGTGTGTGTGTGTGTGTGTGTGTGTGTGGTAAGAATCTCACATACTTCCTGCCCAGGCTGGCTTCGAACTACAATCTTCAGATCTCAGCCTCCAGAGTGGCTGGGATTCCAGGGGTGAGCCACTGGTGCTTACTTCCATCATTTTTTAAAATTATACTTTTATGATCCTTGAGCATATAGTCTCCCTCTGTATAGCTATATAAGGGGATTACCATTCGCCAAATCGGTTTATGAGAATAATGCATCTTGGCATAATTTTCAATGGTTTTTGAAGCCTATTTGTGGGTCCACTCCTCCCCTGCTTCTGTCTTGGATAGTGTCTCAGGTCTTAGTTTCCTCCTTTCCACACTGTACAGACTGGGTTTGGCAGGCACCCTCTGACTGGCTTGTAGAAAAGCAATACTGTGATCTGAGGCGGGTCTTCATATCTGTCCAAATCCAAAATCAGTGTCTCCTGTGGTCAGTTTAACACTGGTATTTTCTTTGGATGAACATCAGCCAAAAAAACTATCACCATGACAACAATCATAATAAAGCCCTGATCTGCAATTCCAATTGCACCTACATGACCTTGTGGAAAAAAAAATCTCACAATCCTATTTCCTGCCATACTGAGCTGCATGGTTAGTGTGAAGAACAGAATAATTCTGGGAACCAAAGAGACAACCACATCCAGACCTGGGGCCACCTGAGAAACAGCCAAGTCCTCACTACCTATGATAAGATTAAATCACTACAGCTGGTGATGGTGTTTGCTGAAGGCACATTCAATAGGCTACAGGGAAGTACCCTGTTTGTTTTTTAATGCCATATATTAAGTAAAACTGCCAATTAATTATTTTTTTGTCAGTAGTGGGGCTTGAACTCTGGGCCTGGGCGCTGTCCCTCAGCTCTTCAGCTCAAGCTAGCACTCTACCACTTGAGCCACAGCGCCACTTCTGGTTTTCTAGTGGTAATTGGGGATAAGAGTCTCAAGGACTTTCCTTCCCCAGGCTGGCTTTCAACTGCGATCCTCAGATCTCAGGCTCCTGAGTTACTAGGATTACAGGCGTGAGCCACCGGCACCCACCCGGCCAATTAATGTTTTAAGCATGTGGAATATTGTGGGATGTGTAGCAGCCGCAGTATGGTTTTGCTGTTGTCTCCAACATGTAAAAAGACAGTTGAAAATAGACTTGGGGAGTACAATTTTCCCATCACTGGATTACCACGTAAAAGGCCTCTGCGTGATAAAGTGTACCCCAACTTCCAGATAGTCCAGTGAGCTGAACAACAGTGGATCTTAAGAACGGAAGAATAGAGAAGAAGTGGCACTGGTCATGCGTATTCAAAAATACATATCTCGAGGCAGAAAGAAGTAATAACACTTTGCATTTACATGGTACTTTACAGTTTTTATAATCATTTCACACATTACTTGAGAATCGATGATAATCCAGAGCTGACAAATATTTAAATTTCAGTCGCGTTCAAGTGCATATATACAAAATAATCTACAAATGGAACAAAAGTTTTTCTTAAAATCACCTATATCCTAAAGAGCCAACAGCAAGACAATCACAGAACAGGGACAGGGAGGAATGCGGGAGGCTGAAATTGAGTTCTGATCCCGTGAATTCAGAAAAGGCTGGCTACACACCGGCCCAGATGCATAGGGAAGGATGGGCCTACAGGCTCTGTGTAATATCTACGACTCTTCTGGTTTTGCAAGTGTTTTTTTTAAATGCAGTGTTTGAACAACCTGGCTTGAATTTACACGTAGAGGTTTTCCTGGTTCTTAAACATTCTTTGTCTCTGTGAACTTTTGTTCAGATTTCTTTCTTACCTGCAAAGACCAGGTGAAATAGAACCAAAGAAGGTGCTCCATGGCTAAAGGAAGCACTGAAATCTAGAGATGCTCCCACTTTTTCTGGGACCTGCTTTTTCTAGACCTGCTCCCAGGTCTACAATTGTATCCACCTTTCCATCACCAGAACTAAAACCTAATTATAAGTATTAAAATGAACAAGGTTGAGGTTGAGGTGAACAGAATCACCCCACTCCTGGGTTTTTCTTCTTCAACAAATATATATTAGAGGCTCAACAGTGTTACAGACGGGACTGGCTGTATGGCTCAAGTGGTAGAGTGCCTGCTTCGCAAGCACAGGGTCCTGAGTTCAATCTCTGGTACCTCCAAAACAAAGTGCTACAGACATCTCAAACCTAAGCATTTAAGTTTTTTAAAAAAGTGTATAGGATAGTTAATTGTTCTTTTCTCTACAGAGAAAGTGTTTTCTCAAGTCCCTGATAACAGAAACTGAGCAATTTAAAGGTTTCTGGAGATCAAAATTGGATTGCCTGTTTTTTTTTTAAATGTCAACAGAGGTTTTAAATATGCTGTCCAATTGTAAAGACCCACTCTTAACTCTTCGACTCTGTGGTTTGTCAAGTGTATGTGCGTGGTAGCAAAACTATAGAGTGGGGACTGGGGAAATGGTGAGGAAGCAATTTCAGCTACCAGACAGGAAACAGGCTAAAAGCTACAAGACTCAGAGCCTGGACCAGGTTCAGCAGAAGATAGGACAGAGGTCAAACTCACAAAAAATAAACAAGGTACAAGATAGGCCTGACATTTTCATTTCAAAAAACAAATCTCAATTTTGTTATGTTCTTTTTGCCTATCATAAATGCCTGTGTGCATATATAGCAATATATATAGAGAGAGAAATCTCTATATATATGTGTGCATCATTCTAATCTCTCTTCTTCTAATCCATTGTAAGATATATATATATATATACATAATGTTGTTATGAAATCACTTGGATTTGTTTGAGATTTAAATGCAGAAATTCAACAAGCTATTTTAAATCAGTGCTTCTATGTTCTTGCATGGAGATAAACATTTAAATACAAGTACCCAAATTGGGAGCTATTAAGGAATATATTAATGGGATTTGTCTACTGAAATAAACAATAAATTTATGCATGTCTAAGAAGAAGAATCCTCATAATGGCCCCCCAAAATACTGCCCACAAAAACAATCTAATTCTAGAGCTTTCAATGACTGTGTCTAATGAATATGCATAGGCACTAAATGAAATGAGAGCTTACGATTCTCTCATTACCTAAATAGCTGCAGCACTGGGGTGAACTTCCCCAGGCTAGACTAGTCCAGTGTACAAAGAAGATCATGTTTCTGTAGAATCTAAACCTGCCAGCAGCCTTAATCCCTTGCAAAACCCCAGACCACATGAGCCGCTGGCCAAAGTAAACACAAAAGGAAAAGGAGCGGCAGGATTCGATAAAGTTGGAATTTGAGCCATCAATTTAAGTATTTCTCCAAAACAAAACAACCCAAACAGTCACTGACTTTATGATTTTAAGTGGGACCAATGTAGGAAATCTCAAAATACACACAAGATGTATTACACAGCCACTTTTATATATAGCGGGCTTGTTTAATGATAGAAAAGTATTTCATAATGAGAAATAAAGAGTGCTAATGTGGTTAGCTTTGGAAGTAGTTAGCCACAGTGAAACACTACCAAGACTGTAAGACTGAAAACCTGAATAGGGAAGCCCTCCGTAGCTTCTGAAACACTCGCAGCATTCTGAGCAAACGTGGGCTGACCAACTGCAGGACGAGCGGAAGCCAACTGTAAACAACTGTCGCTGGGTTTCATTTTATTCTGTGTCTGCAAAGTGCCAGTTATAGATCATCTCCCTTCAAACTGTGGTCCCTTCAAATGGCGGGTTATTTCCACACGGGTGTGGGGCTGCATGCCCTTACTGTTTCATGTCTTCTCTTGTGGGTTTGATCTGAGCTGACCCCTGGACACCCATAAAGAACCTAGCATTGTCTCCTGCGTAGCAGGCTGGGAACAGGTTCGGTTGCTTCAAGTCTGGTGTCACGTTCTTACAAAAGGACCCCAAGTAGAGACCTTAGGACTCCTTACCCAGAGGCTACCCTGTGCATGGTGTTCAAACCCCCATAACTCAGACTTTAAGAAACGTGCTGCTGGTTTTTAATTGTCTGGTGAACGAGGCAGAATAGTGGGAATATGTGAGAAAGGGGAGGCAAAACAGCCCTGGAATTATCTACCCTACATCTTCCCTTTGCTTAGTACGGGGTCACAAAACTGTTTCCCTTAAAGTAGGTAAAATAAGCAGAAAGTAGCCCCGAGAGCACTATTTTAGCTTGGCTAGTCATACCAGAGATCTTTCAGAAAGTCTTTTCCTTTCTTTCTTCCTTTTTTTGTGGGGCCTGGAGCCTGAACTCTGGGCCTGGATGCTGTCCCTCAGCTCTTCAGCTCAAGGCCAGCGCTCTACCTCTTGAACCACAGCACCACCTCTGGCCTTTTCTGCTTATGTGGTGCTGAGGATCAAACCCAGGGCCTCATGCATGCAAGGCAAGCACTCTACCATTGAGCCACCTTCCCAGCCCCAGCCTGTCTTTTTTGGTTGCTTGGGTATCCACCATCAGAGAAAATTGCCTTGACAATGGTATTTGGAACTCTGTGACTGAATGTTCACAGGATCTGTGAGCCTGGAGGGAGGAAGAGAGAGAGAACCAGGCAGGTAGCGTAATAATAGGTGTTTTACCCTTTGCCCTCCTGGAGGACCCAGAGACTACAACATGTAGCTGAGCACTTGGTTCTTTGTGGTGGCAAGCCAGGCTCAGCACATAGTGAGATGGAAGAGTAGCTTCATCCTGGCCTTACTGGTGCCAAGGTCATGAATCCCATTTTGGTGTTTTGGTGTGGACAAGAGAAAAGCTTCCTAAGGTAGCTGAAGGAAAATGGGATCTGATGTTCTCAGCCTGGCCTAGGATTCTCCTTTGTGAGCCCGGACACTTTTTACGATGAGCCCTCTTGCCACAGGTGTGGAAGACATTGTGGCCATAATGATCCCCGAGCCAAAGGGGAAGGAGCTAGTGAGCCTGCTGGAAAGGAATGTCACGGTGACCATGTACATCACCATCGGGACCCGGAACTTGCAGAAATACGTGAGCCGCACTTCGGTTGTGTTTGTCTCCATCTCCTTCATTGTCCTGATGATCATTTCCCTCGCATGGCTGGTCTTTTACTATATCCAGAGGTTTCGATACGCAAATGCAAGGGACAGGAGCCAGGTGAGTAGCAAAGTGTTTTAAATAAATATATATCATAACCTTTAAAAGTTATTGCAGAAGCAATGCATGTCACTGTATAAACTGAAAAAAAAATCACAGAAAGTGTGTCAAGACAAAGTCGAAACTACCTGCTATTTCCACTTGACAAAAAACATAGCTGGCCGGGGAATAGTTTTTTTCAGATGTCTCTTAAATATCTGTACGTGGATGTCTGACCAGATGTGGTGTGTACAATGGCATGATCGATCCCTCATGTTTACTGCTTTCGGGGGGACATTTATTTAATTAGGCCAAGAATAATGAAGGGAAAAGGGACATGAACCTAGAGCATGCTGATAGTACCAACATAATTTGAAAGAGCCATAATTATTCTCTTCCAGCACAGCAGGAGAAATAGAGATTTTTCAAAATAAGGCTATTTTTAAAGCAATTACTTTTGTCTAAAATCGAATATGATGAAAAAGCTATTCCTTCCCATGTATTTGCCACAGCTGCTCACGTTCTACTCCGAGGATTTTTTTTTTCTGTTCTGGGAATATTTTCCGCACATGTAAATGCACATACTTCTGTGTATGTATACACATTTGTGTATTATCTAAACAAAACCAAGGCATGTTTAACTCTTTACTCTTTTCTCTCACTTCATCTTAGCCTCCAAACCAAGATGCTGCCTTCTAATCGCTAAAGACGACATAGCATTCTGTTGCTCCTGTATGTGACGTTTATTTAACCACTTCCCATTAACAGACATGTTGTCTTTTATTTTTCTTGTCGGTCATGGTGCTGGAACCTAGGGCCTGGGTACTGTCCTCGAGGGTTTTGTTTTGTTTTTGCTCAAGGCCAGCACTCTACCACTTAGAGCCACATCATCTCCACTTCCCCTTTTTAGGTGGTTAATTGGAGATAAGAGTCTCAAGGCCTTTCCTGCCTCAGCTGGCTTCAAGTCATTATCCTCAGATCTCAGCTTAACTGAGTAGTGAGGATTACACGTGTGAGCCACCAGCACCTGGCCAAACATGTTGTCTCCTAAAGAAAAACATTTTCACATGATATGTAGAGTATTTGAAAGTGTACTGTAAATCCTGGAAGTGCAATTTCTAAGGCACAGGTATATGTATCTAAAACTCTAAGAGAGATGCAAAATTATCTGCCAGGAACTGTGGAAACAATTTATACTTTAACCCAGCAGTATCTAGAAATTAGTTTACCATATTCTCAAAAGAATGTGTTTTAGCTTTTATGCTATGATTTGCTAACTCAGAAATTGTATCACATTTTTAATTAGAAGAAATGTTAAACATCTTCTTAGGCCCGGTAGGAAAGCTGATGTTTCCCTGTGAAATATCTGTTCATACCAGTTGGTTGCTTTTCAGTAAAGTTGTCAGTTATTTTCTTTCTCATCATGATGATTAGCCCTCTTTACAATATAGAATGCAGTTATCTTTTCTCCCAGCTTATTGTTGTTTTTAATTTTACGGTGCATGTGGGCATAAAAACATTTTTTGGGTTTTGTGTAGCTAAATTTATCAATCTTCTGATGTTCCTTTCAAGATTTGTGTAATAAGATTGTCTACATTTTCACATCTTTTTCCACTACATTTTTAGAATTAAATCTCGGAGAACTTATTTTAGTGTAAAGAACAAAACTCTGAATGTACAAAATATATTGTATATGACCTTCCAGAACACTTTCGTGAAGTCTTCCCCGTCCCGGAAGCCCGCCTTCCACTCTCTGCACATGCATAACTCATGTTCCTTTTGTTTCTTGTTGCACACATAGGTGCTCACGTTATGTTGGAACAGAAGAGGTAGTGGGATTTCAGACAAACTTGAACTTTACAGGGAGAGAGAAAGGAGTATGGCAAGTGTCAGCCACCAACACAGAGTAGGCAGAAAAGTGTCTATCTCGTAAAGAATAAGAACTAAAATTACCCCTGAAACTGCTCTAGAAGAACAGGCTGAGCTCCCAGGCTGACAGAAGACACAGGGGAAAGTCACATCTATAAAGTGAGCAGTGAGCTGACGCATCGCCTTCCTCTACGACACCGCTCACACAGAACAGCGCTGGGATTCAACCCGGGGCACGTGACAGCATCATCAGTGCCATCCACACAGCCTAGCTCTCCGTCACAGGCTGTGGGATGATTTCCACCCCTTGGGCTGGGTCTGGGAGAATCCTTTTCATGGAGGAGAACACGTGAGGATGAGGCGGGAGTCACTCTGAGCCACTTGGCTGCATGCCGCTTAGTTTGCCAGCGTCCTTCCTGCACCTAGAACTCAGAACACTTCATTATTTTCTCCTCGGTGATGGAGGTGATGGTGATTAGCACAATTTAAAACAATAGTTTTGGGGGGAAGAGAGGAGTCAGCTATAGTTATCCAATCAGCTGAGATGCCACGTATGCAAACTCGGTTCTGGTGGTGTCATTTGGCAGGAACATGTCCTCCCCCAACAGAATGGTCACGGCCAACCAATCTGATGACACGAGAGATTAACAGGAGAAAAACACACTGGATTTATTTAGTCACAGTTTCACATGGCACGGAAGCCTCCAAAGACCCAGGAGAAAACTGCCTTTATTCTTGGATTCCGTGTAGAAGTGTGGTTGCACAGTGATCTAGTGATAGACTGGGGTAGAGAGGCAAGGCCTGTTTGCTTTATATTGGTTTGGGTTCTCTGTGAAGCATTCCTTCAGTCTGAACGTGGGGCAGGCCCCTTTTGAGATGAGGGTCTTCAAGGGAGAAGGGGGAGTGGTCTTTTGAGGTTTCACAGCTCATTTGGGAATGAGGGTTCAAATTCTCATGATTTGCCCTGGAGAAGAGAAATTCCAGTCCTCATGACTCATTTCAGGGTAGGAGAAAGAACTCAGGGAGACACTTTGCTTCTGAGGCTCTTGAGTCTCCTTTGGCCCAAAGAATTCACCCACCAGCCTCCGTATTTTAGGATGTCATTTTTTAAGACCCCATACTGTGTTTTGTGTCTTTGTGTCCCTCATTTCTTTTGGCCTCATCATTTTTTGTTTTGACCACCTTCACTGCATTGCTAACACAGAGGAGATGAAGAGGAAAGTGTATTTTTTCAGTTTCTTAAATATTTACATGGTCACTAATTTATGTGTCTTGGGTTCAACGAAGACCTGTTATGGTTCACCACCCTTGTACTATTTGTTAGAGGGTTTTTTTTCATGTTAATGTATGGTTCTGGTTTTGTTACCTTAAAACAATTCACCTTCACTATTGTTAAGAGACCAGTTACTAGTAAATATTTTTCTTGTACTTGTTCAGATCAAATCCAAAAAAATGAAAGTACCAAGATTCCCAACTCCTGCCATTTGTTTAATGGAAAAACAAACAAGCAAACAAAAGGATTGAATCTGTGTTGGTTAGAGAACATCCAGAGAGAAGGGAGGAAGAATCTTCACCTTGGATAGAAGGCTAACTCTCAGCTACAGGGTCTAGGTCTGCTTACAGCTGACTTCAGCCTTCTTCAGCCATCCTTTGCTCCACATTTCTGAGAATCACCAGGGAAAGATTTTTTCTTGTGATAGACCTCAGGTTCCGATGCCAACAGTCTCCATTCAGGCTTTATGCAAGATTTCAGTTTGAGCAAGGCCTGTAAATTTCCTATTCCTATGTCCTTGGCGCAGTAAAGAACCCAATGACTGAGCTCCTGCATAGACTCAGGAGAGCCGGTCTCACTCTGCCCCATCCCTGCCGGCCAACGTCCTTAATGTTCATGCCACACGTGCATGATGCCAGAGACAGCTGCCTTGCTTTGCCAAGTGACATCAGAAATGCAGTCCAGAACGGCACGTCTTTATTACTAACAAGTAGCTCTTGGTTTTTCAGCGCCGACTTGGAGATGCAGCAAAGAAAGCCATCAGCAAGCTCCAAGTCAGAACCATCAAGAAAGGTGACAAGGTAATGGCCTCTTCCTTTAAATCAAAACAAAAAGAATTTCTTTTTAATGAAAAGGTATTCAAAGAAGGGGTAGGAAAGAAGGAAGTATGGGAAAAATAATTGCATGTAAAAGTTTGCCTATAAGTATTTGCTATGTAAATGTATTCTCTAACATATTACTTAAAGCAACAGAAAAGCAAGCACGCAATACCATAGACAAAGCCAGGATGGGATTGATGCACAAATGCATCAGTATAAGAGAAACAGGCCTCAAATTTAGCTTTCTAGCAGCCAATGCCAAAGAGAAAACAAACAAACAAAAAGAAAAGGAAACAAAAGCCAATATTCAAACAATTTCATTACTTCAACCCAGTGTCACACACCTCTAGCATTGTGACCCAATAAAGTATTTCCAGGAATCCTTGCAGAAAAGACGGGTTTCTGTACTGGGTTATGTTCTCCACTTAAGTCTGAGGTTTAAATGTAGGAAGGACATTTTTCTCCCTCTGAGCTTAGTATAGAACTCCAAAGTCATAGCAACAGCCTCTCTCCCTGCAGGATGGTAACATAAAGCCAAAGACAACTGCCAGTCTTGAGGAAGACTAAAAAGGCAATGTGGGCCCAGCCCACAGCCGCTCAGCTCCCAGCGAAGCTTAGAGGAATGAGTTTGGAACAGCATGTGGGTTTAGGGCTCCTTAGAGCATTCCCAACCCCTGTGTACAACGGGTCTCCAGCATGAATCACCGATCTTTCTCACAGATGATGTGCTGTCATTGGTTTGTTTGTTTACCCATATGAAAACACGTTGGATTTAATGAGACAAAATTTATCTGAAAGAATTACCAAATTTAGAGTTAACATTTTGGTCATTATTTTTCCCCACGTAAAAAAAAAAAAGAAAAAAAGAATAGCAAAAGTGCAAGGACCGTTCTGTGAGTAATGAATAAAAAGATCTGAAAGCAGATACGTATACTTAGAAAAATTAGGACTTTTTTGTTTTTCTTTACATTTCTTTTTATACCTTAGATTCAAAAGGAATAGGTGGATTAAATGTCATTCAGATGCTTCTCCATAAACGTTGTTTCTGACCCTTGGGGTTTTGGTATGTCACGTCTCATTGTGATTGGTAGCACTGTTGGGAATTCTACACGACAAGACGGTTTCACTCACAGGAGTGCTGAAGTGGAATCCAGAAAGAAAACGTGGCGTTCGAAAGGAAACTAAGCTGATAGTAAATTATTGATTAAGAAAATTGGCAGCAGACCTGTTGAAAGCTCCTGCTGCAGACCAGCTCTGCTTCATTTTCTGTAGCTGTTGACCCAAGGACCAAAGCTCACATTAGGCTCATCCGGCTGCTTCCCTTTCAGGAAACTGAGTCCGATTTTGACAACTGTGCCGTGTGCATTGAAGGGTACAAGCCCAACGATGTGGTCAGAATCCTGCCCTGCCGGTGAGTCCCGGGGTGCCAGGCGGTGTGTCTGGACATGTGTGGAGAGGGCCCCTACCTTGCTGGTCTAGCCCTTTGACAACCCGTGTTGCAAGCATGCAGAACACCACTGCTTTTCGTGGAACCTTGTAAATGTCTGTCTCTGGAAATTAGAAATATTTTTTTTCTAATCCATTCTACATCAAAGCAAGTAGCAAACAAACCTCTTGAGAAAGAACACAATGATGCTGCCCAGGTGTGAGTTTTCTTGAAGAACAGCTTGCCAAGATGTTCTGATCAGTTTTGGTTCTGATTAAAATAGCACTCACTCATGCTGTGTTACAAAACAATATACTCTCTGTTTTGTGAACAAAGAGCTCAGCATTCAGTATATGGACAGGAATAAGTAGGAAGCCAAAGGCAGATTCCATGTCTCGTAACTTCCTTCTTTTTTATTACTAATAGAAGGAGAATGTGATAGTCGCCTATTCCCCTTGCCAAATTCTGGAATCTAAACCAAAACATCAGTACGTACTGTTGGGAAAACTCCTAAATGGTTGTCATATAACCCTAAGTCTTCTTCCTGACTGAAATTCATGGTTAAAGCTGCCTGGATTCTTTTTAAATTGTTGAAATTCAATAAATATGAACACTTCCATTAAGCCAAGTATTTTCAAATTACATAAAAGCTATCCTCCACTCAGATCCCTTCTAGTATTTTTACATCTGTGCAAGGATCCTAAAAATAAAATAAAACTGTGTTTTGATGAGATGTTCTTCAAGAGAAAGATTGGCTGTAGCAATTCTTAGAAAATTCAAAAGTAAATGAAGCAGAAACAAGGATGACTAAAAATAGAAAAGAAATCCACTGGTTCCTTAAACTAATGTAAATTTCAGATCTATATTAGACATACAAAAGGAATAACATGTGCCTTTAGGGGCAGTTTAATAATCTCCAAATGACAAAAATAACAAAGAACTGAACACTCAAACAGGAAAGAGGACAGATCTTCCTTGAAATTCTCCTAGGCAAATTGATTCTGAGGAAAATGAGGATGGTAAATAGTATGGTCCACTCTCCTTAGTTTATAGGCAGCTGACTGTCTCTAAGACAAGACTTTAGGTGTGGTCCGTGGAGTGTTGGTAGAGTCTGTGTGTGCAGTCATCCTGTGAACCTTCTTTCTAGACATTACACTGACTGTTTAGTCAATGGCTTCTAGAAACGTTGGCAAAGCATGGAAAGCTCTGGACCACTGCCTTCAACACTGCAGTGTTTTCATCAAGATCTATAAAGCCTTGTGGTCATAAGCAAGTCATATGTTTCCCTTTACTTTCCTACTAAGAGATAATTTAGAGTCTTATGAGGCTTTCACTAATAAAAAAAATAGCCACAGCCAATAGGAGTAAAGTAGTTGCTTTTTCTTGAGAATCTAGAAAATTTTCCAAATGCAACCAAGAAAAATCTTTCTGTCTAGATAGTTATGTATATGTGTATATATATATGCAGATATATACATACATGTATATATGTGTATGTATATATGTATGTTTGTGGCTGGATACTGTGGCCCATGTCTATAATCAAGTTACTTGAGAGGCAGAGAGCAGGAAAACTGTTATGTTGAGTCTAGCCCAGGCAAAAAATTAGTGAGACCCCCATCTCAACAAATAAACTAGTGGTGGTACTTGTCCATCAACTACCTATAAAACATAAACAGGAGAATCTCAGTCCAAGATTGTCCTCAGGCAAAGAACAGAAGACCCTATCCAGAAAAATAACCAAAGGAAATATAAGGCTGTTTTGTAAGACCATGAGTTCAAACCTTAGTACAGCCAAGAAAACAATATTTTACCCCTACAACCCATGCAGTATGAAATCATTCATTCATTAAAGGCACTGTAATGAATTAATTCCATATGACCACAAAGAATTTCTGGAAGTTGCACAATAGCCATGCCAGAGTTGTGCCACAGTGTAACTTACCATGCCCTAGTCTGCAAATTGACCCCATTTCAATTTTAATTATGACAAATTACATAGCTTTAGCAATCCTCACATTTTTATATTGGACCTAACTCCTTTCACAGTATACTATTTTAGAAAAATGAAACTCTAACAATGACCATAAGAAAGAAAACTTTCAGAACTTTAATTTTATCAACACGAGCACTTATCCAAGCTAGTACAGCATGGCTCAGGCTCCTCTTTTCTCACATGATTAATGAATTCTTGGCTCATTCCTGTCCAGCTATTTTTATTTCCTTATTTTGGATCCTGCTGTAAGTAGCAAAATACATCAAGCATTACTGAAACCAGATCATAATCAACTTACCGGGTTATAATCAATTACTGTTTGATCACATACTAGCCCCCTATACATACTCTTTGAGTACTTCATGCATTTCTTTTCCTGGATGAGATTAAAATTAGGGTATTTCTTTGCCTGTTGCTGTTTCTCCCAGATAGTTTGCACTAATGGATGTTATCCAACAAATGCAGTGGTGTTTGCTTTTGCTGGATAATTTCTTCTAGTGTATTATTCAACTTTTGCTCCTATGAACATCCTAGACTCTTTTTCCAATTGTTTCCAGGCTGACTCACCCAAGAATTCTTTGCATCTCCTCCTTTAATACTTTGTTCTGTGGCCTTACAGTCCCTGACCTTCTCCTCTCTTATCATTTAGAAATCACTCCAGATGACCCAGATGTGTATTCATTTGTACCATGACTCTTCAGAAAAGTTCTGTTGTTAGTCTTTGTCAGAAATCCCTGCACACATGATGATAAACTGGTATCATGTAGTACGAACCCTCTTGTTTTGATATGGTGGTTATTGAAGGTGATTCATGTACATATACACCCTGCATTTCTACACCCCCCCATTCTTCCCTTTCCTGGGCCTTCTATTGCATCAGAAGATGAGGTTCCCTCAGATTGGGCCGGGCTCTGTGCACACACTGCGAGAAATCTGGCATGGCACATACAGCACGTAGGCACACAATTCACGTAGCATGGGCAGGTCTGACTTCCGTGGTTTGGCCTTGATCCTAATGTACCACTAAGACATTTTCCAAGAATTGTTGGTTTTGCTGCATCATAGAGATGCTAAAAAAAAATGCACTAGACTGTGTTTTCAGGAGGGATTTTTATATCTTGCGCTAGTATATGTGATTATACATTTTAGCCATCAAAAGCTGTGTTACTGAAGCTGATTGTCTTCTTTTGTCTGGAGAGTAAGTTGGGCCTGGAGTTTTTTCCATGGCTTTCATCTTTTGGGGGCATTTTTGTGCCTCAATGAACGCTCACTCCCTTCTGTCTGAGTGCCTGATTTCAAATTCAGAAAGAAGGTGAATTCTTTGGGCAGGCCAAAGGGACATAACGTCGTGTGTGTGTGTGTGTGTGTGTGTGTGTGTGTGTGTGTGTGTGGTATATGTGTGTATGTGTGTATGTGCATGCACACACACATACGTGCTACTACTGGGACTTGAACTAAGATCTCAGCCTCCTAGATAGCCAGAATTACAGGTGTGAGCCACTGGTAGCAGGCTCCATGTTTGATAAGCTTAAAGGCAAAATAATATATGTATTCTTTTCTACCTAGTGCCCATAATTTTTTTCATATCACTACAGCCCTATTACTAATTGTGGAAATATTAGTTTCATCTGTCTTTTTCTTTGATGTGGTGAAGTCTCCCTAATTGAGAAAAACTTTAGAATTATCTACTAGTCTACTGTTGATAAAATTGTTAGTAATGGGATGCTTCTTTTTGAACAACAGATATGTGTTTTGGTCGGTCATGGGGCTTGAACTCAGGGCCTGGGTCCTGTCCTTGAGCTCTTTTGCTCAAGGCTAGCACTCTTCCACTGTGAGCCAAAGCTTCTCTTTTAGTTTTTGAGTGGTTATTTAGAGATAAGAGTCTCACGAGGACTTTTCTACCCAGGCTGGCTTCTAACCATGAACCTCAGATTGCAGCATCCTGAGTAGCTAGGATTACAGGTGTGAGTCTGTTGTCTGTGCCTGGCAACAACAGGTATGTTATAGGAATTTTGTACCAGAAATAGTGGGTGGTTCCAGAAATGAAAGGACAAATGGTATGTTCCACGTTCTCTACAGAGAATAATTGAATAGGAAAGGCAGGAGTTACAATACAGAGTCAGGGTAGAGAATGAAACGTGAGACAGTAATAATAACATATTTTTTTTAATTAGCAGAACTAATACCAGGCACAAGGAATTGAGAAAATGCTTCACAGAAAAAAAAACAATGCCTTCCTGTTTCATAGTTTCATTGGTCCTTTATATGCTGTGGAAAATTGGTGAAATGTTGAACTAGCTACCTAACTCCTTCTTTGAAGTAACTACTGCCAACATGTATTTCCTTCCTTTATACGAATGCTTTGTTGTGACCTTCCTTCCTTTTATTTCTCATGCCCATTTTGACATCCCATTCTTTCAAAGATCATTATAAGAATTTGATAGAAATGGTACTAGATTCTTCATGGCTCCCTTGGACGCTGAAGCTGTAGCTGGGGCTGATGATGCTCTTACTCAAATAACTCAACAAAAGGCCCCTGGGGTGGTACGCTGTGCAGACGCGTCACTTGAAGGGTCTTTGCATGATGCATGATGATGGAATTTTTCCCTGAGTTAAAACAGGGAAGTGTCTGGTCCTCCAGGAGTGTACTTCTTCAGACCCCACTGGGGGGGGGGGGCTGTTCACAGCGCACCATCCCACCCACTGTGGAAGAACAGAAGTTTGCCCATCTCAGTGCTGCCGTTTGCGAATGTGGCTAGTAGAAGTCTTGTGTCGTGATGACTCAGAGCTGGATCACAAATAAAATTCTCTAAGACTCAAGCTATTCTTTGGGTGTGAGCTCCCCAACGTTTACTTGGTTCACAGATCACTTCCTGTGACAGTAAGTCACTGGCACTCACTCTTTTGCGTTTGTATTTCCTTAGAGTTTGTAAACAGTGGGTCCTGACTGACGGGACTCTGAACAGTAACATTGTTGAAGTTGCCTAAG